CAGGATTGGGGTGGAGTCGGGGCAGAGGGGGGACACCGCAGGCTTGAACTCCACAGGTGGCTGAAGACCTGGAGCTGAGGTCCCAAAAGGGAGAAGGATATGTGGGCAGCTGATATCTGGGGTCCCAAGGACAGTGAGTAGGGAGGGCAGAAGGCAAATCCCCCATTAATCTGGCCAGGGTGAGCGTTGTTATTGTTATTATTATGAAGCATCTCAAGGCTCACAATCGTCTTAACCTGGCCGGGCCCCACTAATGGCCCCATAAATCCCAACCATAAAGAGTAATGGGGGGAGACAAATGAGATAATTAGGAATAAATCTCACCGAGGTCTCTCTTCAGCAGCGGCCCTGGAACTGGCTGATCTTCCGAGCCATTAGCCGGGCCCCTAATTAATGCTGAGCTGCCGGGCGCTGCCAAGTCTCCAGGCACAGGAGGGACCCTGCTGAGGGGCACCACCGCCCCCTCAGCCTGCGGCGGCGACCTTGGGAGGAGCCGAGGGATGGGTACCGCAGCCTGCCTGCTTCGCTTTTCTGTCGCCTCCTTTTCTTCAGCTCTCTCCATCTCCAGTCTACCTTCCTTCTCTGTTTCTCTCTTATCAGACCATCACTGTCTGCATTGTTGAGCCATGGAAGATCTGAGTTAGCAGGAATTGCGGGGGCCACCTGTGACAACCCTCCACCAGCTCTCCTCCCTGCCCCGAGTCAACCCCAGGGCAGGGACCCCACTACACACCCTCCCCCAGAACAGTCCTTGGAATTGCCCCCACTGCCACAGTTGCAGCCCATTCCGCCTGGGTCAGTTCTCAAAATTAGAGGGTGTTTCATGCCTGGAGCTGAGTGCTGTCTCCTTGTCTTGTCTGCCTCGTGGTCTTGCCTCTTCCTGCTGGAGCCTGAGGACAAGCCTCAGATATTTGAAGGCCATCGTCCTGGACTTCTCTCCTCCAGCTCAAAGCCCTGAGCTGCATTTCCGACTCGAGGTTTCCAGTCAGGCCTCCCCCTCCAGGCACCTGCTCTGGGCTCATTGGTGGTAGTCTGAGCCCATAGTTGGCATCCTCTTCTGTTGTTTTAATCTGCCAGCCTTTCCTGCTTTTTTTGTTCCAGCACCCCTACTTCTTTGGGGAGCTTCCCCTCCCTGATTCTACATGATTCTGGAGGGGAAGCCAAGTAACCCACCCTCTCTGGCCACAGAGGCCTGGCCCTCATTGCCCTCTGTCCCCGTGTCGGCTGGCTCAGGAATAAGCCTTAGCACCTTCCCTGCACCCCTGACGTGGCAACACTGAGAAACACCAGGTGGGTACAGCATGTGAACACCCGCCCCTTCCCACCCCGTACCCGGCCCCAACCTGTCTGCAGTGGGAGGGAACTAGGCTGTAACCCAGAAAGAGGCACACCCAGAGGTGGCAGGAATCGTGGGGTACAGAGGCTGCTAGAGGGTCGGGGGAAGCATAAAACCAGGTGAGGGGCAAGGAAGGCTGGGGGCCTTTTCTCTGGAGGAGGTGGAGGGTGAGGGGCTAGCTGGACCCGTAAGGGGGCTGTGGCCGCAGGAACCATCCCATGCCTGTCGCCTTACCATCCTAGGAAGGTCGGAATGTGGAACGGAGCACAAACACCAGGGTGACAAGGGGCCAGGTCTGTGATCTCTGTCCCCTCTGCTGTCTTCACGGTGGCCTGAGGCTCCTGCCCCTGCTTCTTCCCCACCTCTCCTTGTACCGGGCCAGTCCTGAGAGCTACTGCACTCTTTCCCACTGCTCAGCAACCAGGAGTGTCTGAAGCAACTGTCCTGAGAGCCTGGGGACCAGCCTTCAGGCCCCCACTCCTGCCTCATCTCCCCAGGTTGCTGGCAGAGGCCCTGGGGCATGACTGGCTGCAGGTGATCCAGCCCTGGGGCTGCTTAAAAGTGTCCTTTCCTGCAGGTGGTGAGGCCTGAAGCCCAGTGTGCCTGGTTCTGCATATGAGCAGAGGGAATGCCTATTAAATGGACCAAAGAACGGGGAGAGGCTGATGGAAGCCATGGGGCAGGGGGCGGCTGACCAGCCCTCCCCTCACGAGCCAGCCCCTGGCTCAGCTACTTGCTTGGTCACGGAGCAAAATCTCTTGGGTTTGGCACACAAGATCACCCAGTAGTCATGGCAGTCCTGGCCAGGGACCACTTAACTTGGCCCCACCCCCTTCTCCTCCCACAAGCGTTCTAATTATTACCTGTCTTGGGTTAGACAACCTGCAGCCTGAGGGTGGCCCCTCGAGAAGTCTCCTGGGCAAAAGGAGGCCAGTTTGCTGCTCCAGAGATGAAAGAAAACTGGAGGTGCAAACTATTTCCCTGAACACTGTGGCCACCATTAGATTTCCAGCATCTCAATGCTGCTCCATTCCACACGTAAGGAAACTGAGGCCCAGAGCGTGAAGGGTCTCTTCCCTGGGGCCCACAGCAGAGCCAGGCTGGAACCTACAGCTGGCTCAGCCCAGCTGGTTGGAAATTGGCAGCCAACGGAGAAGGGCCATGTAGTGGAGGAGAGGGGTCCAGAACCAGGACTTGCCCTTGAGGATATCTGGGCAGGGGTGGGTGGGTGGTGGCCTCCAAGACAAGCGCCATCTGGGGGCGGTGGGGCAGGCAGAGCGGGCATGGGATGAGGGGGAGGGGGCACAGGGCTCTGCAGCACAGCCTGGAGCTGATCAGGGCTGGCGGGGGTGTGTGAGGGCATGTATGGGTATTGGTGGGGGTGGGGGAGTGTGGTACGTGTGACTTTGTGTGACTTTGTGGAATGTGAGTCTGACTGTAAGGAGTGTGTGTGAGTAAGTGAGTGAGTGTGTGTACTGGGGGGAGGCTGGCTAAATCCTCCCCGTCCGTCCCCACCCAGCGCAGCCTCTCGGGTTTCAGCCACTGTCCTAAAGAAAACAGCCTGGAGCTTGCAGCAGGAAATCACTATTTGGATTGCAGACTCGCCTCTTCCTGCCGCGGCCCCCATGGTCCCCACGGAGGAGGGAGGCCCAGGGAGGGGGCCTTCCTGCCCACCTGGACCAGACCTCGAGGTGGTCAGAGGGCCCCCTCCCCAGCCCGGCCTCCCAACGTCCCTCAGACCCCAGCCTTGGGGAGGACCTGAGGTTGAGCTGGACGGAACGGGAGCCCTCCCACCGTTGTCTGTCCTCCTCAGGACAAAGAGCCACAGCAGTGAGAGAGGAGGATGCTCCCCGTGGCCATGTGAGGGGACTGGCGCACCCTCACGGAGGGCCATGGGGCCGTCCTATCAAAGTCACAAATGCATGCACCCTGAGGCCTGGCAATCCCACTTTCAGGAATATTCTACAGCTATAGCTTGCCCACACAAAAGGACATGTTCACGCAACCTTGTTTGTAAGGGAAATACATGGAGAGAACTAAGCAGGAGTTGGGTGACTGAACTGTGGCTCGTCCCTCAGTGGAACTCCAGGCTGCTCGTCAATGTGCTGATGAAGAAGAGGCCCGAGACAAACGGTTAGGTGATGAAAATGGTGCAGGGCAATGTGTATAGCTTCTAATATTTTTGTTTAAAAAAACCCAGTAAGAGGGGCTGGCCTGGTGGCATAGTGGTTACACTTGCGCGCTCCGCTTCGGCAGCCGGGGGCTTCACTGGTTCGGATTCCGGGTGCAGCCTTATGCACTGTTTATCAAGCCATGCTGTAGCAGCTGTCCCACATATAAAGCAGAGGAAGATGGGCACTGATGTTAGCTCAGGGCCAATCTTCCTCAGGAAAAAGAGGAGAATTTGTGGCGGATGTTAGCTTGGGGCTAATCTTCCTCCAAAAAAAAAAAAAACCCACTAAGTGTAAATGCTTGTGTATGCACAGACTAGACTTTTGAACTTTTTGTACTTTGGGCGTGCAATAACTTTGCAAAAAATCGAGACAAATAAATGAACACTGGGGGCTGAGGTGATGGGGCTTCTCTCTGGCTTTGATTTTGACTGTGTGACCCTGGGCAGCTCACTTCCTCTCTGTGTCCTGAGTTTCCCAGAGGTCAGAAAACCTTAATGTTGGCCTTGTGAGGGCTGTGTACACGTAGGGGAGGTGCGGCAGTTGCGGGGGGGGCCTCCCAGCCCCTCTCATTTCCTCCTCCTGCTGTAACTGCAGCCGCTCAGAGGGCGTGGGCTGTTCCCTCCTGACAATCCTTGAGAGAGTTCAGATTTCGTCTGGCCCTTTTTCTGAGCTCCCTCCTTCCTTCCAGCATCCCTCCAGACCACTCCAGCCTTCGTTCCTGGAAGCTGTGCTCACCAATTTCCCATGAGGTCTCCACTTTGTGAGGCCTTCTTCAGCCACGTCTTCTCATCAGGACAATCCAAGTTGAACCACGAGGCAATCCAAGTTCTCTCACTCACCCTGGACCCCTCCCGGCTTCCTCCAGGTCCAGGATGGGGTGGGGAGGGGCTCTGTCCAGCCAGCCCTCCCCACCGGCAGAACCCACTCTCCCCACAGTGCCCAGGTCTGCCCCCACCCCTGCACACCAAGGGCCTGGACACTTGGCCTCTGAGGCTCCCGCCAGCCCTGGCAGTTTTATTCTGTCTCAGGGATGACTGGGCCTGAGACTGGGCCATGTGACCCCCAACCCAGGCCACACTGGCCTCCCAGTGCAGCCCAGGAGCAAGCCCAGGCCCAGGGTTGCCCCCTACCCACCACTGCTCTGCAAGCGACAGAGGCATGGGCGTCACCCTCTGCCTGGGAGCCATCTCGGGAAGGGCTTGGAGAAGCTGGAGTCAGCAGGAGATTAATTAATCAAAACCTGAACACATCTGTTGTTAATTAATTCTATGCCAAGGTTAACTCTTCCCTCTCTGGGCTTCCCCTTCCCTTTGGTGGGAAGAGGGAAATAATGGTGGGGAGTCGGGACCCCTCTTCCTTCCACCCCTTAGCGGGGAACGGGAAGGAAGGGACCCCAGAGGGCAGGGAAGCCTCATCCATTCCGGTGCCTTGTAAGGACGTTGTGGGGAGTTTGCTTTTGAGAGTCGTGGTCCATGGACATTACTCATGAGTCCTGAGGAAATCGGAGATGGACAAACATCTTTATTTACAGCAACAAATAGAACAGACCCTCCCTCCATGCCCCCCCTCTCCCCTTCCAGTCTTTTCCATACTGTTCCCCCTCGTGCCCTGCCCCAGGCCTAAGCCCAGCACCCTCTGGGGTCACTGTATGGGTCAGGCCCCCAAAAGAGCTCAGGAAAGGAGACAGGGAGGGGCTTGACTGAGGGTAGGGTGGGGGTCTCTTTTCACATTTTGCTGTCCTCTAAGCCTCGGGGTCAGGGGAGGCGGGCGCCAGGAGCAGTGAGAGGTAGAGAAGCACACAGCTCCGGCGTCCCTGCCTCCCCCATGTTCCTGCGCCCCCACCCCAACTTTCACAGTGTTCTGCAGCCCTGGCAGCTGGCCCAGGAGCAGCCCCCACCCCAGCCACTGCCCCCAGGTCCTTGGTGCCATCTGTCCCTGGTAACCAGGGAGGAGGACTGGCTCTCTGCAGTGGGCTCAGCTCCCGGGATGGAGGTGGCCTCCGAGCGCCCCCTTCTCACGGGCTGGGGTTCTGAGAGGGCCCTGGGAGGGTGGGAGAGGACCAGGGGGACGGGTGATCAAGCTCTGTGCCACAGCCCCCCTGGGGAGCCCCTGCCGGAATCCGCGGGTCAGGAGGAGAAGCAGAGCCCACAGCACTCCATGCAGATCTCCAGGCAGTCGGCCGACTCGCAGCAGGCGTCCAGGATGCCGCAGTCCAGGTCGCAGGGCAGGTCGCAGTCGGCGCATTCGCCGGAGCCACAGCAGCAGCAGCAGAGGCACGAGTCCTCGGAGCTGCAGGAGCCGCACGTGGCGCAGTCCAGGACAATGTTGCACAGCGTCAGGAACTCGCAGAAGAGGCAGGACAGGATGCAGTGGACGCAGCAGTCTGCGGGTGGAGAGAGACAGGTGAGACAGCCGGCGGCAGGGGACCTAGCCCGGCGGGGACGGTGTCCACCGAGAGCTCGGTGCTCGGCAGGAATTAAGCTCATGCAACCCTGGGCAGCTCCACCAAGTGCGGACTGCGAGGAGCCCCGCCTTATAGGTGACGGCCGTCAGAGGCACAGAGTGGCACACGCCTACCTCCTATGCTGCAGAGCGGAGGTTCGAGCCCAGGCCGTCTTGATCCCGAGTCCCTGCTCGTAACCACCCTCCACCATTTATCTAACAAACACATGGAGCGATGACATGTTCTAGGCACTGCTCTGGGTGCTGGGCATGAATTAAACTCATTTAAACCTCCAACAACTCCATGACGTGGCGCTACGATCAGCCCCACTCCACAGATGAAGAAATCTAGGCCCAGAGAAGTCCCTGCAGAACATGTCCAGAATCCTACCACTCTGCTCCTCTCTCGCTGGGGCCACGGCAACGGCCTCCCCGTGTCTATTCCCCACGTGTTCAGAGGGATTCTTGGAAGAGCTTTAGTCACATTCCACCCCTGCTGTGCTCAGAACCCTCCAATGGCCTCTGCCTCACTGGGAGTAGGAGCCAAAGTGCTCACAGTGGCCCCCACGGCCCCACGTGATCTGGTCCCCTCTCCCACTGACCCCCGGATCACTCTGCTGTGGCCACACTGGTCTCCCGGTCCTGCGGGCACTGCTGCCCTGCCCGGAAGGCTCTTGTCCCAGATGCACGCTGGGCTCCCTCCCTTTCCTCCTTCTTTGCCCAGACGTCCCCTCTCGTGAGTCTGTCCTTCCACGAGCATGCTCTATAATACTGCACCCTGCCTGCCCCACCCCCAGCTCCCCCCCACCACTTGCCCTGGTCTGCTCTGCCATTTCTTGGAGGACTGATCACCTTCCACCGACTCCACTGCTTTCTCCTCCTACTAAGATGGAAGCTCCCCAAGGGCAGGCATCTCTGTCTGTTTTGGTCACTGATATAGTACAAGTCTGCAGAACAGTGCCTGGCACATCGTAGGCGCTGAGTAAATAAATGGTAAATGAGTTGACACAGGAGCCTGGCCATGGGCTCCCAGCTGCTAAGTGGAGCTGGGACCCCAGGTGGCCTGGCTCTGGAGCCCGTGCTCTGAACCGCTCAGGCGGCTGCCAGGATGCTGAGCTGTCACCCCTCCCAGGGGTCAGGCCATGGGGAAGAGTGTGGAGTTCCCCTGACCAGGGGGGCCCCTGGCACATGGCTGCTGGTCCTGTGGGAGACTCACACCACCATGGAGGGCCTGACTCCCCCACCCTCTTCCTGTGTGGAGGGACTGGGGTCTGGTACAGCTGGAACCCCTACAGTCTATCTGCAACCTGGATAAGAGAGTTCTTTTCAAGCGCAAATCTGATGAGGTCAGTGGCTTGTTAAAAACCCTTCCTTGGCTCCCTATTGCCCCCAGATGAAGGCTAGGCCCACGGCAAGGTTTACAAGGCAGGGAGCCCCTGCCTGCCTGGAGCCTCACTTCCCACCATTCTTCACCTTGAACTTCACAATCTACCCACACCAGCCATTTCTCACCCCTGTGCTAATGCCCCCCTGGCTACACCCTCCTACTTGTCCTTTAAGGCTTGCTTAGGCACCTCCAGAGCCCTCCTGACTCCCCTCCCCAGGTTTCTGGGCTGGTGTGGGTGTCCCCCTGTGTGTGCATAATCCCCTGCCTGTGGCTTTATCACCATATTTAAAATCTCACCATATCTTGACGAGCTGTTTGTGCCTCTCTCATGAGGCCATGGACTGGGTACCCAGCACACAGCCCAGGGCCTGGCTCAGAGCAGATGCCCCAGACACTTTAAGTGAATGAACACCCGCTTCGTAAGTGAGACTGTTGGGCAGAAGCCTCTCTATGGGTGGCAAGATTTATGAACACATTATGTGCAAACACGTACACTGAATCCTGTTTGCAGAGGACCAGCTAGAGTCCCCCAACATGGACAGGAATTGCTTAAAAATTGTGGGGTGCAGGTCAAGCACCACTGAGTTACAGGCAGCTGTCACTCATGCCAGTGGGGCAGCTGGACCTGGCTGTCCAGGGTGGCCCTGGCAAGGACCTCCTTTGTGCTGGAGGAACAGTAGCTGGTGTATCCAGGTCCTCTGTTCTCCCACTGCCCCTGGCAGCCCCCGCCCCACCTCCAATGAAGCATCTGATGGTGCATAATTTCATTCTGCTAGGTGCTCTCTTCTCACTGAACAGACGCTCCAGTCCTTGAGGAAAATTTCTGTGTCCAGACATGGGGGGTTTAAGCTGGTTCAGCCCAGATGGCTCCATTCCTTGTTACAGCAGCTCTGGGAGAGCAGGGAGGGGAAGGCGTTGGCCTTGAGATATGCCTCACTTTACCCAACAGGTGTCCTTTGCAAGGTTCTCCGATTTGACAGTCTTGCACCAGACTCCCTGGAGGGCTTGTTAAAACCCAGACTCCTGGGCCCCACCCAGAGGTTCAGGCCTGGTGGGCTTGGCGTGGGGTTGAGATTCCACTCCTCCCCAGCCGCCTGACAAAGATGTTGCGGCCCCTGCCTCGCACCTTGGGTTTGGAGGCCTCTCCAGGGAGCGGGGGGGGGGGGGGGGGGGGGGGGGGGCGGCGCAGGGCTCACCTTCCTGCGCCTGGAGAGGGATCTGGGAGGCAGCTGACTTGGTGCTGGCTTTGCTCTTCTTGCTGCCCTGGCTGGCGAGAGATGGGTGTGTCTGCAACTTCCGGTGGGTCTTGGGGCCACCCAGGGCACCATTCCCCGCCTGCCTGGCGCCGCCCAGCTCCGAGGAATGGCCAGAGCCATTCGCCACTAGTGGGGTGCAGCCCAAGGGGTTCCCCTGAGGCTGGCCTAGAGAGATGACGAGAAAGAGGGATGGAGGAAAGTGTGGGGCCGCACAGCCTCCAGAGCTCTGCTCTAACCCTGCCTGCTTCATTCCTAGATACACCACAGGTCACGTAGCCGGACTTATATTCTGCAGGTGGGGAAACTGAGGCTCAGAGAGCAGAACTGACTTGCCCAGGGGCACACCATGAAATAGCAGCAGAGATGAGCCTGTCTCCTGACTCCCAGAGGGGCAGGGAGAGGGCTCAGAGCCCTGGACTCCACCTTCTTACCCCAGAAGAAATCTATTCTCTGACCCCTGGGGTCCCGGGAGTTGGGCGAGGGCGGTGTGGTGGGGGATGGAGGGCAGGGATGGTTCAGCTGGGGTGGGAGGATAGCAGTGAAGCGGTTAACCTCCGCCTCGGCCCCTGCCAAGCCCCCAGCTGTTTTTGCCCTTGGTGTGCTGGGTGATTTATTGGAAACATCTGTTTGCAGATGAACGCCCTGGCCCTGGAATCCAGGGGCTCCTCACAGGAGCCCCTCTATCTCCTGCTCCTTCCGCCTCTGCTCCCCGCCCCGTCCTGCCTCTGTGGGGCGGCTGGCAGAAGCAGTTTGCTGAGGGGCCCTTAGGTCTGGGTGAGGAGGGAGAGAAGGGAAGAGGGAGGCCAGTGGGGAGACCCCCAAGGCCAGGAACCCCCATGTGCCCATCCCAGGCTGAGGGACCAGATTCGGCCTTATCAGTGGGGTGCAGGGAGGCTGGCCCTGGCGATCTCCCCAAAACACCCAGTTCCGCTCCTCCCCTCACTCAGGTGTGCTCACCTGGATGGCACGGTTCTGTTCTTAAGAGACGAGGGCAGGTGTGTGTGTGTCAGGGAGGGGACCGAGAAGGGGTCACCAGGAGCCTGGAACCCCTCAGCTCACGGCCCCTGACTCCTGGGCAGGACCCTCTGGCCTGAGGACCTCTGTCAGTGTGCGAACGTGGGACACTTCCATTGCTTAGGCATCAGGGTCTGGATCCTCAACCCCGTCCAGGCCAGGCCTCTGTGTTTGAACTGTGGTGGGAGGAGACGTCTGGGGTGCCCTGGAGGCTGAGGAGAGGGGAGGGTGGCCTCCGTGCTTTCCTTGACTCAGGGGGATGGGCCTTCTAGCAATGGTCACATCACTGCACACTGACTGCGTCAGCCACTGTTCTAAGCGCTTGACAAGCTAATTATTCTCTCACTGAATCCTCTCAGTATCTCTACAGGGCAGCATCCTCCTCTTACAGATGAGGAAACTGAGACCAAGAGAAGTACAGTAACTTGTCCAGGGTCACACAGCCAGTATGTGTCAGAGACAGAACCAGGCTGGAGGCTGAATGCAAGGGCTCAGAGGGCAGAGCGGCCAGGGAGGGGCAGAGGTTGGGAGACAGGGGACTGGGCAATGAGCTGCTACTGTCACAACAGTCACTACTCTCTTAACTAGCAGCATACACATTTTGAGTTGTTACTAGCTGCCAGACACAGTGCTAAGAGCTTTATGGATAGTGACTTTAAATATCATGATAGATCCACTCTGATTGGCCCCATTTCCAGATGAAAACACTGAGGTCCAGGGAGGATAAAACGACTGTTTCCCCAGCTAGGAAGTGGAGGTGGGGGGGGGGGATGATGATGGGGAGAAAGGAGGCAAGGACAAGGTGGGGAGTCAGGGAGAGGATGGGAGAGGCTCCGCGCTGGGAGCCTTCGGCCCTGAGGTCCAGCTGGTGCCTGCCTCTGGGTAAACAGGGGTAAGGCCATGGGAAGTGGTCAGGCCTGAATCATTCTGCTCCTACCTCTTTGCTGCATGGGGGGTGACCGGGCTGGGTCTTTGGCCAGCTTCAGTGCCCCCTGCCCTGCTGCCTAAACACGGGCACAGGGCGGGCGTGTGTGGTGAGCCGAGGGCCCTGGGAGGTTTGGGCAGACAGAGCCTGCCTGTGGCCATGGCCGTGGGGGCTGAGTCACAGAGCAAACACTCAGGCCCATAGACACAGGAGTGTCTGTCCAGCTCCCATGCAGGCCCCCTCCTCTGTGGCCACGGCGCTGACCTCTTTCTCTCAGTGCTGCCGGTGGGTGTGTCTGGAGGAGGCTGAGGGCAGCGCGCTAGCGGGATTTAGTAACCCAGCCTTCCAGGGAGTCCAGCGTAGCCCCAGATGTCCCAGCTGAGGCGGCTCCCCAGGCCGGGCCAGCTGGGCAGGCACAGGAGACAGCGCTGGGCCGGGGGCCCTGAGTTCCTCAGCTTGTGTCCAGGGTGAGTGTTCTCTGCACCTCAGTATCCTTGTCTGCAGAGTGGGCTTGGCCATGACCCTCCCGCTGTGTCACCCCAGGGTGACTTGGAGAGCACGTGAGATCATTCAGGGAAAGAAAGTTGGAGAGTGCAAACGTGGCTAGAGATTTTGCGCATCTTATTAGTAATTACAACCCGATTCTGGTGGCCCCTTCTCCTGCTCTTGAGGGTGAGGGTGAATGCTCTCCCTCCCAGGACCTCCTCAGAGGTCGAGCCAAGCCTGGGAACAGAGCTGAAGTTTGGTCCTTTCTGCCCAGAGCAACTGGGGGCGTCTCTCCTTCCTTATAGTCCTTGATGCCCTGAAAGATGGGGCTGGCTGGGCTCTCGCTCCCTGCACGGCCCCCCAGCTTCTTTCTGAGGTGAGAGGCACCTCCTTCCACACAAACACACACCCTCTGGTCCTGAACAATATTGCCTGGAGCCTGTCCACACTCATTTTGTACTAACCATTTTGTACGTGGAGGTCTTCTTCCTAGACAGAAAGGACGGTGACAGTGTCACATGCCTTTCCATTACCGACATCTCAAGGCCGTGGCCCAGGGCTGGGCTTACATGGGCACTCACTGCATTTTTGCCAGCCCATCTGGATTGGATTCCCGCGTGCAACCCCTACATGTTGCCACCCCCATACCCCGGCCCCTCAGGACTCACGTGTCACAGCTTCTGTGGGGACATCGAGGTCAGTGCTGTCCAGGGCCTGGGGGGCCCCGGGGCCATTGCCTTGGGGCATGAGGGGTGCCGCCTCCTCCAGGGAGCCCTCCTCTAGCGCTGCCTCCGCAGGGTGAGTGGATCCTGTTACTACCTCCAGCCCAGGTGGGAGGGATGGGGTCTGGGCTGGGGAAAAAGCAGACAACTGAGGTATATTTTCCCTGCCCTGGTCCCCTCCCTGAAGCCCAGAATGCCGTGAGCCTTCATTCTCTCTCTCTCTGTACCAGTCACCCAGCCCTTATCCTATGTGGCAACAGCCCCAGACTCCAAAATAGAAAGCTCCCAAACCACAACCCGTGAGTGAGCAAGGATGTGAGTGTGTGCGTGTGCACATGTGTGTGTGGTATCCAGGAGGGGGCTAGAGACACGTGGTAGAGATGGAGTGGGGAGAGGAGGCAGAAACACACAGCCGGAGAGAACAGACAGCCAGTCGTGATGGAGAGATTAGGGACAGGCATCAAAAGTGACAGGGAGAGAGAAAGAATCAAAGGGACAGTGAAAGGTAGAAACCAAGAGATAGCGCATGAGAACGCGGGAGATGGGGCGGGAAGAGAGAGCCTCAGAAACCCTGTGATGGACAGCTGGGACGGGACAGCCAGACGGGAGGGAGACTCAGCGATGGGGAGGAAGACAAAGACAGGGTCAGAGACAGAGGCGATGGAGAAGGGAGCGTGAGACAGACAGAGTGAGGGGGAGATGGACAGTAAGAAATGGGGTGAGAGAGAGGATGACAGTGAGAGAAAGAGTCAGAGAACCCCGGGGGTGAGGAGAGAGATCAGGCCTGAGGCAGAGGGCCTACAGGCAGGAAGAGAGACAGGGACATGGCCCATGAGGGCTGGGACGAGGCGGACTGAGGTGGACCGCAGCCACATGTAATTACAGTGACTGGCTCAGCCCCTGTGTGCAGGGTGGGCGGAAACAGAAATGGAGCCACTTTCAAACCCACAGCTCCTGAGTGGCTGCACTAGGGCCCCCGGGCCAGGGGAGACTATTACGGAGGTGGGACATGGAGGAGGGAGGCAGAAAGGAGCCCAAGCTCCCGCCCCTCAGTCACCAGGGGTGGGAAGGCCTGAGAGTGAGCAGGGGGCAGAGAGGGTGAAGCAGGGGCCCCAGGGCCAGGGGCCGGGCCAGTCAATTACAGGGTGCTGCCTGAGCATCTAATCAGACCCCAGGTTGTGCCATTGGAATGACAGGGGCCTCAAGAAGGTGGCCTCCTTGCCTCCCCCCACGCCATGTTGGGAGCAGGGGAGAGGAAGAAATGAGAGACTCATAGGGAGAGGAGAGAGACACAGGGAGACAGAAAGATGAAAAGAAAGGGCGGTGGAACCCAGAGAGAAAAGGATCCACACCCACACATGGACACTACACAGAGAGACTGGGAGAGACACACCCAGGGCGGCAGAGAGATAGAGACACAGACGAGTCCTGGAAAGAGAAGCGGAATCAATCTCAGAGAACATATGGTCCTTCTCTGAGCTATCTCCAAACGACAGCGACAGCGGGAGAAAAGAGGAGGGAGATAATTAGAGGGATAAAGGAAGGCTGACCATGCAGGTCTGGGGGATGGGAACATCCTGAGGGGAGGGACCATCCAGGGGCTCGGCTGCCTCCCTGGATCCTGAGCATCACTCTGTGGCCTCTGATCCTCAAAGACCCCTGAGCAGTCCTTGTTCCAAAGACCCTGGTCTCCCGTGGCTAGGGGAATGGAGGCGCCCGAGGACCCAAGTGGGTAGCACAGAGAGCACAGGCCGAGCTGGCGTGCTCACGCCTGCCCAGGGAGACCTCAGGCCCTGCCTGGAGACAGGAGCTGGGGCAGGGAGGAGGGAGGGGCTGGGGCTCCTGCAACTCCTGAGGGCCCCAGAATCCTGTGTTGGGGACCCCTCATGGTGCCTGCTGCTGCTCCAGGGAGGCAGGGGGCAGGGCCCTCCAGTCCCATCCGCTCTTTGGGCCCCCTGTTGAGAGCCCCCTCACCAACTGGGTTAATGAGAAGGGTCAAGGCTTTGGGAAGATCACAGGGTTGGGCGAGGAGGAAGCAGGCGAGTGGAGATGACTCCCAAGGAGGAGCCACGCTGCTCCTCCTAGCCCTGAGCTGGTCTGCAGCAGCTCAGACACAACTCTTGAGGGCGAAGGCCAAATTGGCACAAAGAGGGAGGCTCAGGGCTGGGGTCCTCACTCCCAGGAAGGGGGCCTGCTAAGCTCTAGCCTCTGGCCCCAGAGGCATCTTGCCAGGGCCCTGAATCGGGAGTGCAGACTCTCCCACGTGGTGTAATGAAAAAGGCCTGGGAAGATGCTGAAGACCCCAGCCCTGGATCTTACCAGTTAACAGCTGGGGCAAGTTAGCGGGTCTTGGGTTACCTTGTGTGTAAAGGGGGGGGGGGGGGTCCTAACGCTTATCCCTCAGAGTTTCAAGGAGTCAGTGAAAGGCTCAGCAGAGCCCTGGCCTGTGGGGGGCCATTCACGACCACGTCCATCCACACAGCCACCTACCTGCCCGCTGTCCTTCCTCCCTCCCTTCCTTCCTCCCTCCCTCTTTCCCTGCCTCCCTCTGCTGTTTGATTCAACACGTATCCAGCAGCGATGATGCACCTCACAATATATCAAGCACTGGGTAGGCCAAAATGAGAAAGACCAGGTCACCACCTCAGGACTTCTCTGTCAGGAGTGGATTGCAAGGCGGTCACACACACTGAGGGGCAAGAGTTCCTGCAGGGGGCAGCCTGAAGAACTGTGGAAATGCAGAAGACGGGCACTTATCCCAGGGGGTGGTGTGTGTGTCTAGGAGGTTTCTAGGAGAAGGCAATGCCCACAGTGGGTCTTGAGTAATCAGTCAGGAAAGAAGAAAAGGACATTTCGAGATGAGCAACAGGAACCAAGGGCCCCAGGGTGAACAGCCGCAGAGTGAACAAGGGACACCAGAGCCATGCTAGAACGATAGCTGGTGCATGGCAGGCCTGTGGTCACTTCCTAGGCTTTCTGCTGAGGTCACTGGGGTGCCCTGGGGTGACACCGTGGGTCCTGTAGAAGAAGGAGCCAGGATGGCAGCTTTCCTGGCCCCCAGGGTTGGAGAGGCAGGAAGGGGAGGAAGAGGGGATAGGGAGATTGGTCCCCATCTCTGTCTTCCTCCCCCAGTGTCACCACTCTCTGGGTAGTCTCTCCTAATAGTCATCTCCAGGGCTGGTGACCTTGAATCTGGTGGGAACAGGAAATCACAGAGAGCACAGACTGAGTCCCAAGGAGACCCCTCCTGCAGGAAACCTGCCATTCGAGGGTGAGCGTCAGACCTCGGGAGGAAACCAGGGAGGAACGAAAATCCAGTCCAGTCATCTCGACCTGGACACACAGAGGGACAGACCTCCTGGAGCCAGGAGGGGCAACAGAGGGGATCTGGCAGACACCCGAGAGAGCAACTCTGAGGTCAGAGGAGGAAACTGTGCCAAGTGCTCAGAGACATGGAAGCAGAATGAGACGGAAGAAGAAGTGGCAGGAAGACCCGATCTGTGAATGAGATACTGCCCAGAGGGCCCGGATGCCAAGAAGCGGCTCTCGCCGGGAACACAGGAGCAGAGAATCCAGGCCAGAGGTGAAGTCCCAGTGCTCAATCACCAAGACACTGAAAGAGCCCAGCTTTCCTTCTTGGGACCACGAGACTCTGCTGTCCAGCCACAGAGGGAGAACATCTCCGAGGAGAAACTCCCCGAGGGACGTTCAAGAGGGTAGAAATGTGGGGTGGGCCACATCCACCCAAATGTGGGGGTGGCCAGCAAAGGCCAAGGGCCATTGTGCGGATGTGCAACTCTTGTTCTGTATACAGGCGCCTGCCAAGGAGGGCAGGGGTGGGGCTGGAGTCCCTGGTTGGGGCCCTTTACTCCCCGGAGGTGCCATCTGCTCACCCAGCTGCATACCGGCTCCATCTGACCAGAGGGCCACCTTTTTCTAATGTGCACAGGGGGCCAGCCATGCTGGTGGCGTCTCTGGGCAGAAGCCCTCGGGCCTGCACCTCCCCTCTCACAGGTCTTCATCTACAAGGGGGAAATACAGAAAGGAACAGCCCTTTCTGGACACACTCTCACCCCTAAGACGGGACAAGGTTCTAGTCAATGCCCCGGGTTCTGGAAAAGGCCCCAGAAGGGAGTGGGAAAGTCATGTTTAAATCTGTCAGCCCCAGAGCGAAGGCTGAGAGACCAGCAATCTCAGCAAGGAACTGGGGCTCCCTCTGCCTGCCGTCCTCCAAGGCGGGCGGTGCTCCTGGACCGAGAAGGAGAACGGGGACCTCTTCTAGGTGGGATGGGTTCCCTCCAAACCTGGAAAGTGCCCACAGGACCCTCGTTCTGGAGCTCCAGTGCCTGGTCCCTCAAGTCTAGCCCTTTCCATGGTCTTTATGGTCAGTGGATCCGGGCTCCCCCCTCGGAGCTCTGAGCGTCTTCAGAGGGAGAGGACCAGGACCTGATCTGCTCAGAGTAGCACCTGGAGCCCCATCCTCCAGTCTCTCCTGGGCTTGGTGTTCAAGGTGGACAAGGATCCTGCGGTTCAAGCAACTGACCTCTCCACAGCCCCAGGCCACCCCTGGGCCTGCTGACCAAGCCACCCATGCTTATATTATTCCTCTTGACCAGATGGTGCTACCCCTCCCCTCTTCCACTCCCCAAATCCTTCATGACCCAGCTGGAGCTTCATCTCTTCCTCCAGAAAGCCCCCGCTGACCTCCAGCCGACAGGCCCTCCTCCGAGCGGCCCACTTGCTGAGAACCGAGCACCCAGTGCCTCCCGTTGGTGATTATAACTTGGTAGTGAAGTCCTGGCTCCTCAACCGGCCTGCAGCCCTCCCCAGCTCAGTCCCTTCGGGCAGTGTCAGTATTCACCTCTGCACCCGCAGTGGGCACTCAGCAAATGTCTGTTGGTGAGGACTGAGTTCTGGAGTTTGGAATGTCCCAGATCAGGGGAAGGATAGAGAACGAGACAGCAAGGATTAGGGGTGGCACCTGGCCCCAAACCCCAAGAAACTGAGGCTGTGGACTCCTTTGATGCACACGTGTGACACAGGCTGGGGACCAGAGAAGGCCTGAGCTGGCCAGTTTAGCTGGGTTGGGTTGGTTTTATTTTAGGTCTGAAGGTTCCAATTCCCCAGGAAATTCAATTTAGAACCAAGCGCAGGAGTGTGACGCCCCAGTGCTGGGCAGAAATCTGCTGTGGGTTAGGGAGCCAGACTCTGGGGCTCTCAGGGGTGGGTGGGGAGGCCACTGGGGGAGCCAAGGGTGTGGGGGCTTGGCCACCTGCCCCAACCAGAGCTGCCCTCAGGCCCCTTGCACCCTGACTGCAACTTGGGTGGCTGAGGGAGGGGCTGACGATCCCTGGCCGTCCTTCCAGCAGGGCCCCTGGGGGCAGCGCTATGGCCTTGCTGTTCTGTCAGTGCTCAGCAAGGAGCGTGGGGGATTCTGGTCTGGGAGTTAGGCGTCTGTGGGGTTTTGGCTGGGTCTCCTGCGGTTTGGGCTTCCTGGGCAGCAGGCTCATTCTCCCAAGGCGGCAGAGCTGGGCCTTCTCCTGTTATGAAAGCCACATTGTCTGGCCCAGCCCAGGCTGGGGAGGGGGCTCCCTGGGGTGCTGTGGGGGGGCCTCAAGTTACGGCCTAGGGCTTAACCCTCCCAGTGGTCCACGCTGGCCCTTGTCTTCTGCCCTGAGCACCTTTAGCCCCCTCCTCTCCCTGCTGGGGCTCAGAATGGGTCAGACGGCTGAGCGGATCTTGGAAGGAGGCAGTGGAGAAGAGAGCAGAGAAAATAGATAAGTGGGGGAAGAAAGCAGGGGAGAGTGGGAGGATGAAGGAGAGGAGGGGTGAGAGGTGGAGAGGGAGAGAGAGGGTTCCCAGACACAGAGCAAGAGCCTTCCCCGCCCCCTGCCTCGAGCTCTCCCTGCAGGCTGAAGGAGCCAGCGCTTGGAGGCACTGATTCTCCCCCAGTCCCCGCTCCAGGGGCCCCCGCAGACAGGAGGGAATCCGAGGGTTAACAGGGACGTGCAGCAGACACATCAGTCTCATTTATGTGCTGGCCCCTGGCCAGACATGTCCCACTTGTCCTCATTTGGGTTTAGGGACCCCCTCCAACCTCCACAGCCCTGGGCGTCCAGAGCCCCAGTGTCCACACCAGGCAGACCCTGGGAGCTGAGACAGGCCCCTCGGAACAGGCAGACAAGCCCTGATGGGCGGATGTGGAGACTGAGGCCAGAGAGGGGCAGGAACTTGTCCAAGGCAGGGCAGGGAGTTAGTGTCAGAGGTCCAGGACCAGACCTTCATGATTCAGACTCGAAGAGGGGGAAAGGGAGAAGGGGGTGGGTCAGAGAAAGGCGAAAGAGCTAGCCTAGCCAGGAGCTGCCACTTAAGTCCTGAGATGTGGGCCTGCACCCTTCACCCCGCTGCCTGTCCCCGTGCAAATCCCACGTGGTCCAGACTTATCCCCGACCCCAGGTTCCACTGTGAGCCTGGCCTACATGGCGCCATGAGGAGAAGCAAGGGCCGCAGCTCACAGAGCTCCCACCCCAGCGCCCTCAGGGAGTCACACACCCTCCCGGGGTTGGGATGCTCCTGTGGGAATCCCAGGGACAGGGACCATACGGACACTGCGAGTTGGGGAAGGAGCATTTCACTCCGGTTGTGGGCACAGAGTTGGAGTGAGTGTGTGTGTGAGTGTGCGTTTGTGTAAGAGCCAGGCCTAGCCCGGGTGGGGAGGAAGGCGAGAAAGACGAGATGGCAAGGAGGGGAGGGGCCGGGTCCTGTGGCCGCTCACGGCCGACAAAAGTTTTGGGAATCGCTCAGCTCTGGTTGGGTTGGAGGAGGGGAAGGAGAGAAGGACTCAGACACCCCCACCCACGCCTGAGGCCCCCATAAATATTTACACACTGGGCAGAAATGGTCGGGACGCACATCCCAGACGGACAGACAGACACTGCGGTGTGTGTGTGTCTGGTGTTGGGAGTGGGGGGAGTCGGAGCCAACTTGGCGCGGCAGCCGCCTCCATTCGGGCCCTGCCCCCAGCCCTCCGCCCCCCTTGGACCCGGGCCCCGATACCCAAATTCCTCGTCCCCGTCTCCACCCGAGCTCCCCGAACCGTCTCTCCACGTCTCAGGGAGGAGGGGGGAGAATTAACACCCCCCCGCCTCCCACCTCCACCCACCCCGCGAGCCGCCTACCCAGCTCCCGTCCAGACTCGCTCTCCATCCCCGGTCCTACCTGGGCCCGGGGCTGCGCTCGGGGCTCCATGGGGCGCGTCGCAGTGAGGGGAGGGCTGGCCACTCACCTGTGACATCGGCTCGGGACCTGTGGAAAACAGGGCTCAGCGGGCGGGGCCGGCCTTCCCCCGCGCGTGCGGGGAAGGGGGACTGGCAGGGGGGACCCAGCCGCAGCCGCGCGCCTGCCCCCTTTCCAGCGCGGCAGGGCCCCGGACTAACTTACTCTTGCGGGCTGCGCGCTGCTCTCCCGCCCGCCCGGTCACCGCGCGGGGCCTGCCATGCGCGCCGGCTGCAGGCACCCCCAGCCGGGGTCGCTCGGCTCCTCGCTGCCCGCCCCGCGCCCCGCGCCCCGCGCCCCCGCCCCGCTCACTCGCTCCTTTCTCCCATTTCGGCGCCAGCGCGCGCCGCTCGCCCCCTTCCTTCCTCCTTCTTTCGCTCCAGCCCCCTCGCTCCTCCCCTGCTCGCCTCTCCCCTCCCCTCGTCCCTGGCCCACCCTCTCCCCGCCCCCTCCTCGCCCGGCCGGTCGTCCCCCCACCACGTCCCTTCCCCCCGCCCGGCTGGGCGCTGCCTGGGCCGGACACGTCTGTCCGCGGGGCGCCGCGGCCGAAGCCCCCACAGGAAGCCGGCTCGGCGCGCTTCCTCCGCGCTCGCCGCGCTGGGCCCCGGCTCCCCACATCTCCGCCCCCCAGGCCCAGCGCCCCGAGGGGCTGCGCTTTCTCCCTCGCCTGTCCTAAACTCTGCCGAAGTTTGAGGAAAATCAGGAAACGAGAGAGAGAAGCCACTGTGACCACAACCACCTCGAGCCAATTGTCTGAATAACTGTAGCCCCCAAATCTCGTTGTCCCAAAGATGGGAGTGGTCGAGTTCCTCTGGCCCCCTTCGCCCAGCCCCTCGGTCTCGGCTGGATCCTGGCGCCCGCCCCGCCAGAAGTTGTCCCTCCGGGGAAATCCGGTTAGTGACGAGCTAGCCTCCTGCGTCCTGTGGTAGCTCTGCGCATCCCTAATGCCCCCAACCCCTACCAGCTGTGCGTGGGAATTCGTGTCCGAAAACCAACTTTGGAGGCAAAGAGAGGTTCTCCGAGCTCAGCCCTTCTTTTGGCTGCATCCTGGAATCCGAGGCCTTCCACGTCGCGGGTGCGCGGGGAAAGGGGAGAGAAGGGGCCCCTCCAGGCGGGGACAGCCTGGCGGCACATCTGGAATTGTGCGCTGGGTCCCTCCTCAGGGCCGTGGGGGTGGGAAGGAGCCGCCGCCAGGCAGTCCGAGGGGGTTCAAGGACCCTCAGCGTGACCCGGGGACCAGGCCCCCGAGAATGGGGGAGGGCATGGAGCCTGCGGCCGGCCGCGTGGGGCTGGGCGGGCCGATGGGACGATCCTCAGGTGGAGTCACCCGCTGGGGTGACAGCGTCTCGGCTACACTTGGCCCTGGCCGCCTGGGAGCCGAGTCCGGGCTCCCCACCACGAGGGCCAGTGAGCAATTAGGGAGGCGGCGGCGCCAGGCCAGTTCTCCTCGTCCCGCGTTCCAGCCCGGGCTTGAATCGGGGGCTGGGATGCGGGGGGCCGAGTGAGGGACTTGGGGCTTCTCCTTGGTTCCTTCCAGTCTTCGCAGTCGCTACTTACAGCGCTCAAAGGTCCTAGCGGCGCCGTCGCAGCCGGGACCGCCGTGGCCCCCACTGCGCCCGCTGCGCTCTCGCCACCGGCGGCGTCGTCCCCGAGATGAGCCCAGGCGGCTGTGGTTGGAAGAGGGGGCCCCGGGCTAGGAGGAGGGGGTCCCGCTCCCTGGGCAGGGCTGCCTGCTGCGGGGGCCCGGCCGGCACCCCAGGAGCCAGCCCGGATCAGGCTGCTGTCTGGGCGCTCCGGAGAGCGGGGTGGACTCCCCCTTCCTGGCAAGGGCTGAGTCACCCGGACGCGCCCGCACTGGGGCTCGGCGACTGCTGCATTCTTACCGGCTTACCTGGGCCCGCGGGTTAGGCCTCACCCTCCGCCAAGGGTGGGGTGGGGAGTGGGGCAGAAAGGGGGCTGGACATTGTCCCCGGGGCAGCCCCCACCTTCTCTCTCTGTCCTTTCCTGCGTGTAGGTCCACCTCCCCAACCACAGCCTCTAGTGTTGCACCAACACCCCCCTGCTTCTCAATCATTATCCAGGGTCCCTAAACTCGGGGTGGGGCCTGTACCCCAGCCTTCCTGTCCGCGTTGCTTGCTTGAGCTCAAAAGTCCTCTGAATCTGGCCCGGTGCTAATATGTCTGGTTTTTCTGAAATGTAAAAGATACTTTAAATTTAATCTCACATATTCGTTATACAGGTGTGCTCAGTTTGTGAAAATTCAGCGAGCTGAACATTTTAGGTATATGTGCTTTTTTGTATGACTATTATACTTGAATAAAAAGTTAAAAAAATCAATGCTCATTCAAATCAATATTCCCAGACAGAGCATAGCAGGGTGTGACGGCCAGGCTGTAGGTCTGGGCATGGGACACCGGTTCAGAGCCCAGCTCCACCATCCACACTGTTTCCTTGGGGAAGTCCCTCCACCTCTCTGAGCCTCAGGAGGGATGAACATTGGGGCCCTCAGTGTGGAACCCAATCATTTCATTGTTATCCAGGGCCAGGACAAGGGTTAATGTGAGGCTCTCGCCTAGGGTGCAAAATTTAGGAGGGTACCAAGATAAATAATGTTTTAATCAAATATTTTCAAAAACCAAATCAGCAAATTACAGCTCTGCCAGCCAGCTGCTATTTTTATAAATAAAGTTTTATTGGAACCAGGGCCAGGATTAGGGTGAAGTGAGTGACATACAATGGTGCAAGTTCAGGGTTAGATCCTGTCTTTATTTGAAATATTGGCATTTTGTTCATCATGATTTTTTGCATTAATTTTGATTTTTAGATATATTTTAGGAAAATATTGTTTATCTTAATTATTGAGTTTTTTGATGTCCTCTTAAGTTTTGCACCTGAGCCAAGTGCCTCACTCACTCTAGGCCTTACACACCTCACCCTGGTCCCTGGCCTGTTACTGTCTCTTCCTGAAGGACCTAGCTAGGACCCCAGGGTAAATGAATGGAGGTCGAAGATACCCTCACACACATGCATGTTTGTGCCTCCCCCCGACCCCAAACACCAGGTGAGCTCTGTACCCAGGCCCAGGCCTAGCTTTCCTGAGGCTCACTGTTCAGTTCAGAGTAAGATGCAAAGTCCTTACAATGGCCTTCAGGTTCCATTAGCTGGGCACTACCTGCCTTGGCCTTTGTCTCCCCTCCCTCATTTCCTTCCAGCCTTGCTGCTTCCTGAGTTTGTTTTTCCAACTTGCCTCATGTGCTTGCCTCAGGGCCTTTGCACCTGCTCTTCACTCTGCCTGGAATGTGCTTCCCCTTGATATTCACACGGCCCCCTTCCTCATGTCCTCTGCTTATGTCAGCTTCTCACAGAGGCCATCCCGGACCCCTCGCTCTCTGTCCCCTCACGTCAGCTTATTGTTCTTCATAGACCTTTTCACTACTTTTCCTACTACATATTTGCTTGTTTATTGGTGGAATGAAAGCTCCAGGAGAGGGGGGACTCTGCCTTGTCTGCTAGTGTTTTCCCTAGAATTGTGTCTCCACAGAGCGCTCAGTAACTATTTCCAGCCTGGAAAACAAGAGGCCAGAGAGGGGAAGGGGCTGGTGCAAGTCATGCAATGAGTTGGTGCAAAGTCTTACTAAATCCTGGGTCTCCAGACTCCCAACCGAGTGCTCCTTCCTCCCCCCTCCCTTCTGGGGTTCATTCTCACTCCCCACCCCCAGAAGCCTCCAGGCAACAAAAAGTGACAGCCACCCTGCACAGCCCTCCAGCACAGTCCTTTCTACATGGTGCACTGACAAGGCGGGGCCCAGCTCCAGCCCCTGGCATCCACCACTCCCCTGTGTCCAGCAGCACAGCTCCCCTCCCCAGCATGCAGAGCTCTTCCCAGCTTCCTGTCTCTGGCACAGGGCCGGTTGGAGGCCAGACTGGGTTCCACAGCTGGACCACAGCTGTGGTCTCTGCCGTGCCCTGGAGAATGGGGGCAGGACGCTGTGGAGCAATCTCTGCAGAGGGCTGTGTGGAAGGCGGCGTGCTTGTGAGTGGTGGGGGGAGGCTGCTGGGTAGGGGCTGAGGACTTCCAGCTCCCCTCCCTGACGGGCACTGGGTGGGGAATGGGGCGCTAATCCTCCTCCTTCCAGGAAGAAATGACATGTGAGGGGTGAGGGGCCTGGTCCCATCTCTCTCTTCTCTCCTGGTGTGGGGGGTGATGGTGGCAGGTATGTTCTGTATGCCAGCCCTTTGCTAGATATTTCTAGATTTGTTGCTTCCCTTAATACCCACACAGTCTGGATAGTTATTACTCCCATTTTACAGATAAGGAAACTGAGGCACTGTGAGGTAAAGTGGTTTGCCCATGGCCACACACATGGTAGTGGGTGGAGCTGGGACTTGTACCACATTTCCTGAGGCCAGGTGCATTGCTCACTGCAATCCCTGACACAGCCTTCAGCACGTGAGAGAACTGTGAAATTCTTGCGAATGCGTCCCCCAGCTCCAAGCTGGCTGCCGACAAGGGAGATGTGGCCCACTGCACCCTTCCTCTGTCTCACTGGTAATTAAGGTACCAGGAGCTTGGCAGAGTTTAGTAGAAAGAGTGGGGCTTGGTTTGTTGTCATGGAGACCCAATCTGCATCCTGACTCAGTCAGTCTACCTAGCTCTGTGATTTTGGACAAACCACTTGACCTCTCTGAACCTCCACTTCTCCTGTGTAAATCTGGAAGGACAGTTCCCACCTCATAATCAGGGGAAAATTAAGTGAGCACCTGGTCCCTCGTTGGCTCTCAGCAAATGTTAACTCTCTCATCCCACACTTCCTTCCTCCAGGCTCCCCCAGCGGCAAGCAAGGGAGTCTCGAGGGCAGCATGTCCGTTGTCCTGAGTCTGATTTACAAACCCTGACACAGTGCTCACTCTGCGGCAGGCGCAGTTCCCAGCACTTTACGTGGATTAACCAATTTAATATTCACAATACTAAGTATCAATTAATATTAATCACCAATATTCCCCCCATTTCACAGATGAGGAAACTGCGGCACAGAGAGGTTAAGCCACTTGCTTAAGCCCCGCAGCTCTCTAGGGTGAGGGAGGAGGCTTCAGTCCTTGCCAGTCCTCCACTCTCCTGAAGGATCTTTTCCCTTTCGTCCCGGGGTCAGGTCACTAACTCTGTTAGTCACGTACCAATGCCCTCAGGCAGTGGCCTCCAACCCTTTTCTTTTTTAGTAATTCAACTTTATAGCAATTATAAATAAACCTGTTAAAATTTCCTGGACACTGCCAGCATTTGGATTTTTAAAAAATAGACTTTGTTTTCTAGAGCCGTTTTAGATTCACAGCAACATTGAGCAGAAAGCATCCAGAGTTCCCATATACCCCCTCATGCACGCCCTCCCCGCCGTGAACATCCCCCATCAGAGGGCTCCACATGTCGCACTCAGTGATCCCACAGTGACACATCAGTATCACCTGAAGTCCATCGTTTACATTAGGCTTCACTCTCGTACGTTCTGCGGGTTTGGACAAACGTGTGATGACATGGATCCACCACTGTGGTATCACGCAGAGTGTTTTTACTGTCCTGAAGTTCGTCTCTGCTCCACCTGTCCGTCCCTCCCTCTCCACTAACCCCGAGTGGCCGCCGATCTTTTTTACTGGCTCCTAGCTTTGCCTGTTCAAGAACGTCATATAGTTGGAATTATATAGTTTTTAGACCTTTCAGATTGGCTCCTCTCACTTAGTAATATGTATTTAATGTTCTCCATGTATTTTCATGGCTCGATAGCTCATTTCTTTTTAGTGCTAAATACTGTGTCATTGTCTGGATGTACCCCAGTTTATTTATCCATTTTTCTATTGAAGGACCTCTTGGTTGCTTCCAAATTTTGGCAATTATGAATAAAGCTGCTATAAACATTCGTGTGTGGACATAAGTTTTCAACTCATTTGGATAAATACCAAGGAGCATGATTACTGGATCGTATGGTAAGAGTATGTTTAGTTTTGTAAAAAACTGATAAATTATCTTCCAAAGGGGCTGTACCATTTTGCGTTCTCACCAGCAATGAATGAGAGTTCCTGTTGCTCCATGTCCTCACCAGCATTTGGTGTTGTCAATGTTTTGGATTTTCGCCATTCTGCTGGGTGTTAGGTATAGGGGTGTAATAGATGTGTAATGGTATCTCATTGTTGCTTTAATTTGCATTTCCCCAATGACATGTGACGTGAAGCATCTTTTCATATGCTCATTTGCCATGTGTATATCTTCCTCAGTGAGGTGTCTGTTTAGCTCTTTTGCCCATTTTTAAAATCGTGTGGTTTGTTTTCTTTTTTTTTTTTTTTTTTTTAAAGATTTTATTTTTTCCTTTTTCTCCCCAAAGCCCCCCAGTACATAGTTGTGTATTCTTCGTTGTGGGTTCTTCTAGTTGTGGCATGTGGGATGCTGCCTCAGCGTGGTCTGATGAGCAGGGCCATGTCCGCGCCCAGGATTCGAACTAACGAAACACTGGGCCGCCTGCAGCGGAGCGCGCGAACGTAACCACTCGGCCACGGGGCCAGCCCCTGGTTTGTTTTCTTATTGTTGAGTTTTAAGAGTTCTTTGTAGATCTCGGATAACAGTTCTTTATCATATAATGTCTTTTGCAAATATTTTCTTCCAGTTTGTGGCTTGCCTTATCATTCTCTTGAAAGTGTCTTTTGCAGAGCAGAAGTTTTTCATTTTAATGAAGTTCAGCTTATCAATCATTTCTTTCATGGCCCCTGACTCTGGGGTCGTATCTACGAAGTCAATGCCATCCCCAAGGTCATCTAGGTTTTCTCCTATGCTATCTTCTGGGAGTTT